ATTATATAAAGTCACTACGAAAATTAAATCTTCGGAAAATATGTTTATTTTTGCGAATAAAACTCAAAACTTGTATAAAAGTGATAAACTTTCATATGAAAAACTCTATCTAGGTACACGGATATTACTTAAACTTATAAAAAGTCTGCTAAAGCATGAACATATTGTATTTGGGGGTATTCCGCGATGACAATATCTTTACTTATTCCTTATACAGAAGATAGAGTTGTTTTTATTTTCACTAAGAGGCGGCATATTTAATTAATTTAAATTTGCACTAGCTTTTGGATAATAGACAATTAACATATTTTTGTATTAAAATAATGCAAGAAAAAGACAATTTTTTATTTTAACGATAATCTAAACGTAAAAGAAAAGAACACAAAATATTTAATGGATAATATACAAGAATATTAAGGAATTATTCTTTTTCAACTTTACATACAGTAGGTAAAAAAATAAATTGCCGAAACATTTTTTTTTAATTTTATAAAATGATTATAGAATCGAAGTTTATTTTTAACGCACAAATAAGAAGTATTTCCGAATTTAAACAAAAAATAACAGACGTCACCGATCCCACTAAAGATTTCGTTTCTTCTGAAGTTATTTTTTCTCATGCTTTGACTATGTCTGCTTTTTGATCATTTTGTCTTCTGTAAGCTTGAACTCCAATTTAGAATTCCAGTTTAGAATGTACCTCATATTCTCGGTGGAGTTTAGTTTGGGAGACTGGGGAAGCCATTCCATCACATTAATATAGCAACAAACGAATATTTTCTTTCAAAAATGTTTCTTTGTATTTATGACAGTATCTTTCGGGTCATTATTCTGTTAAAACACACAAATATTTCCGAATCTAAGTTTACAACCAGAGGAGCTCAAATTTTGCTTTAAAATATCTGTATACGAATTGAATTTCATAGTTGATTCAATAATAGTCAAAAAAATAAATAAAAACAATAAAAGTATTTAAAGAGCTTTCCGTAGAAAAAATGAATAAAGCAATTGTTTTTTTAATTGGCGATTTAAAGCGAGGTAAGTAGGGAAACCATTTTTGCTGTTTTTTGATGAAACGTTTCATAATTTTTTCAGTCTTTAATAAAATTTGTGCCTGTAGTTGTATTTGTTGTTGAATAAACTCATTTGGATACAAAAATAACGGAAAATGAAAACTTGGATTGCCGACTGCTTCATTTTTTGCCATTTTAAGTTATAGGTTTATAGAGAACAAAGATTTGAGTCGAATGGAATGATCATGAAAAGTTTTATTTTTTTACTTCTGATCATAAATTATTTTAAGCACGCATAAAAAAATTCTCTTATGACTAATTTTCTTATAACAAAACAGGTTTCAAATTGTTTGGAACAAAACACACTTTGCAAAAAAAGTAATTCAAATTTTACATTAAAGATATTATGTATTTGAAAATTAGCAGAAATTTGATATTGAACCAAAGATATTTTTCTTTTTCAGCCTTTGATCTAAAGATAGTTGCGAGAACGCAGTCAAATAACTGCTTTCCATAGTTGGGGTGAATTATGAACTCAGATGAATGAATGACGAACTTCAGATGAAAAATGAAAATGATTGTTCACTATAACAACTAAACCCAGTGTTGTGATTTTTAATGAACTCTTTGATGCGATGGAAAACAACGTAAACTTTTTGGCAGTTTCATGAAGCATTCTTGAAATGCGTTAATGTGAACCTTAAAACTTGGGGAAAAGTATAAATAAAACAAATCTGTATACAGATTCTATAAGCGAGTTTGTGACTAAACATCAAGTTGCTCCTGCATGATCTTCGTTAAGACTTTTAAACACTTTCGAATTTTTTTCTTCTTCTTGCTTTAGAAACAATCTTTTGATATAAAAATTGCTAATATCCTATGTGGAATTAAGTTTCACTCCAGTTTACATCACTGCTGTTGGAGTGACTTCACCTCAGGCAAACTGCAGTCAAAAAGAAAAAAAAAGAACAATCGAATCAATCAGAATTCAATTATTCTCTACATTTCACATTCACACTCATTCACCAGTGATTTACATTTAGGTATTTCTTTCCCTGCAATATGCTTCCTCTTGAATGTGAAATGTAGAGAATAATTGAATTCTGATTGATTCGATTGTTCTTGTTTTTCCTTTTGACTGCAGTTTGCCTGAGGTGATTTCACTCCAACAGCAGAGATGTAAACTGGAGTGAAACTTAGTTCCACATAGGATATTAGAAACTTTTATATCAAAGCGATGAAGAGTGGTGTGCGAACAATCCCCAAAAGTACAAAGATTGACTTGAGGTTAATGTAGTTTTTAAAAAAGTTTTATACTATGATCACAATTGGTTGCTGCTTAACAACAGATTCCAGAGATGGGGAACCAGTAAGGGTTGTATTTCTTTTGACCTGGGGTTCTTTTTTGCTTAATGACATATGCAGCCAGTTTTTCTCTGACTTTAGAGATAGTTTGCACCTCTTTTTCAACTTTTTAAATTTTGAACCTTTTGTGCACTGGTGAGGAAACTTTTTGAGCGTTGTCAGAGCACAGCTTTTCATGTGCCTGGAAAGAGCATTGTGGACAAAGGGAACCTGATTACACTTTAATTTGCGAACTTGACAAATAAAGCATGAATAGTCAATGGGCTTTCTTGTCACTTTGATACTTTGAATGTTGTTCAATCTGGGGAGCTCACTGCTGATTTGACCAAAATTTGGTTTTTGCAAGCTTGTTCTGCAAGAGTTGCCAATTCTTGATGGAACCTAGAGATAAGTGAAGACAATCCCTTGTTTGAGCAAGACATTGGTTCTTCTTCATGAAATCTGTCCTAGAGATAAATGAGGTCAATTCCTTGTTTGAACAGAGCTTTGATTCTCCTTCATGAAATCTGTAACATATATTTCACATTTTTTTGGCACAGAAAGCAGACAGTTCTTTAACAGTTTTTATGAGTTTTTATAATGTATGGGATTTTCCCTGTAATAAAGTACAAAAATTGATCAATACATAACATTTGCCCTGACTAACAAAAGTTTGTAACCTTTCTAAAATACTTAAACATATTCCAATTGCTTCATTTAGATTAAAATTCTTCATTTAGAATTCATCAGAACTTACTTCTAGTTTAAAATGTTCAAGTATTTAAAAGCTTCCTTATTTCTTTCAAAATATTTTTATCAATTCACCGATTAAGCAAATAATATCGGAGTAAAATTTTAATGTATTGGGATTTTTGAATTTTTAAAACCGATTGATTTATGCAAAAGTTACGCCAAAAAAAATGATCTTTGAGTTATGGCGCGTTTTAAAAGACTTATCATTTTGCCGAACTTCATCATCAGGAACACCAAGTAAAGAATGTCTGAAATTCAGCTTTGTTTTTTATGAAAATCATGATTCCTCAAATCAAGGAACTATTTAAATTTTAAGGACTCGTTGATTTTGCGGAACTGTAAGATTTTTAAATATATACCAAAAATATCTATTTTAAAAAGTCTCAAAACAGTCAAAATTTGTTGTAATCAGAATTGCAAAACTTGGTTGCCATTATTTTTGTATCCGTATGACTTTATGAAGCAAAAAATACAATTACAGGCCCTAAAATTATAAAATGTTGAAAGAATTAAGAAACTATTTATTGGAAGCAGTAAAAATGGTTCCTCTACCTGCCTTGTTTTGAAACCAACCAAATGAAAAGATAATTGTCCCATTCCTTTTTCTTATGGAAGCTCTTTGAATACACTCTAGCCTTGTACTGTTGCAAAAGTTACAATGCTCTTTTTAACATTTTGATAAAAACTGTGAATGCTAAAAATGGTTTATAGTATTTTTATTTCTAGTTGGTATGTTTGAGTTTCAAATAGGAATAAAACATTTTAAATAAAGACCCAAAAATAGTTCTTGTTAACAAGAAAATGTAAAATCTATAAAAAATTATATTTATATCATTAAATGGAAAATATATAGGTAATTAGTCATCATTATTCAATTTTTATGTTGAAAATGTTTCAGAGACTGTCTAACTTCAAACTTATAATAAGAAAATATAATAAGAAATACATAAATGCATAAACTATCTAAATTATAGACTTGACACTGTATAATACTAATCTCCTCGTCCTTAAATAATGGCAGTTACTTGATCCCAGTTACGCTGGATGATTCACTGATTATATTTTCAGCAATGGTTTAAAAGTAAACAATTGTAATATATTTTGAATAACTACTCATACATGGCTCTTTAAAATAATACGCAGTACTAACTGTAAATTAAAGGTTATTTTATACAATTATAGCAATACATTTATAAATACCTCACAATGAAACAAATTTGAATAACAATCCCTACAAAAATTTGTATCCCCACAAATCCCCACAAAAGAAACTTGTATTCAACAATCGGAAAATTAACAATATTTTACAAAAACTAGATTAAATAATTTACATTTATATCTATATAAATACCGTATGAATAACATACTTGAACTGTTAGTTTTCATACAAAATATATGAAGTTACAATTCTTATGCTTCCTATTTGCGTTCTAAAATTATTTAAAACTATGTAAAATTACGTAAAATTATGTAGCTCGACTTTAAACCAACAAATTTCGTGTAATTGCATGTTTAATTTAATAAAACAAAATAAGACGTGCTCAACTACATTTCTCTCTTTTACAGCAACGATCAAGAATAGGTAAATCATTCAGAAAGAATTGAGTGTTTACTTTTGAAATACTCAATGCTTCTTTAACGTTTCGAAACTTAAATTAAAAATTTATTCTTGAACTCTAAATAAACATATAAATATATATATATATATATATATATATATATATATATATATATATATATATATATATATATATATATATATATATATATATATATATATATATATACATTTTTCTCTGATAAATCAGTTTTTAATATTTTTTTATCAGAACTTTTTAATGTCTACTATTGTATTAGCAATGATTTATTTTTTTTTTAATTTAAATTTAGAAAAAATGAACTTGTTTATAATGATTGGGTTGCTAGGAAATGTCTTTGCGAACTTTGAAGAAAATTATTGCGTGTTAAATGACGATGGTACTGAGTGTCTCGAAGAAGAAAAAAAGAGTAGCTTTCTATTGGGATATGAAATTGATAAAAAAAAAGGTCTTTCTGATAATATTTCACAAACAAATTATGAAGAGTTATTGGCAAAAATTGAAATTGATAAGAAAATGCCAAATGGTTTATCAAGACGAAATGGTGTAAAGGTATGGCTTACGCTTACTATTATAAATCATTAGGATAAGAGACTGAAACCTTTCATTATCCTAATTTACCTTTATATTAATTTAAAAGTGAAACTTAGTTATATCTAACTTCATTTTATTAGAAGGTTTTGTTCGTCACATTAGAATTATATGGTTCTATCTGCCTTTTTTTATGTTGTGAGAACTTAACTTTCAATATTTATTTAATACATGTTTAACAGCTGTTATTGATTATAATTATAAATTATAAGTTGTTTATGTTATCTATATTTCATTATTTAACATATTTTATATTAAACCACTTAAAAAATGATATATAATATATCATTTTTTAAGTGGTTTGTTTTTATTATTAATTATTAATTAAAACTTTGATTGTTAAATTCTTTTAACATAAAACAAGGCAGATAGAACCCTATAATTCTCATGCGACGTGTTGTCTCGGCTGGTTTTAATACAAATAATCTCCTTGGCAAAAATCTCATTACCAAAACACTGTTTTACCTATAAATGCTAAATGTTCCTGAATTAATATTTCTTTCCATGGAGGAAAGACAGTGTAGAAGTTAAATTAAATTTAACAAGTTACAGTGATTGTAATTTGGTTAGGTTCAATTTCGGAAAGGCAAAGAGTTAATTTAGTGACGTCACAAAATGATTTTGCTTACATATCAATGCCATAATAACCTGCGTTATTAAAAAGTTTTATTGTTTCAATGAAATGTTTGTCCCTCATAATAACTTGTGCTGCAGAAAACAATTCTATTTTTAGCTCCGCTACCCATACGCTAGCGTACAGCGCTGTACCCATACGCTACGTACATTTGTTTTTCTTTTTAGTTTTAGAAAGTTGAAATACGAAGAGCTTCAAATTATTAAATTTCATTTTAGTAAATGAATAATTTTCGATACAATCATAAATGCAACACATTTTATCCGTATCTCAATATTACCAAAATGGTAACCATATAGTTAAGTGTAACTTGTGGGTAATTTTAAGGCTTGCATTTTACAACTTGTTTTTTGTTGCAACCAGTGTTTTAAAATCCAAATTGTGCGAAGTTTAACATTAGATTTAACATACAATTTTTTTTTAATATTTCGATATTTTTAAAGATTTACTTTTAAAATATCCAAATATTTTAAAAGCAAATCTAAAATATCGAAATATTTAAAAATATATTTAAAATATATATGTGTGTGTGTGTGTGTGTGCGTGTGTGTGTGTGTTCCTAAATAAAGTGCAATTATAAATTAGTAAAAACACTTATCTAACTTTCTTTGAAGGTCTGTTTCACTTTCTGAAGGTTCATCTTCCTGATAAATATATGCTGTCAACCGGGGCTACTTTACTCCATTTTTAATGGTTATTTTACTACAGTTAAACTTAATCATAATAAAAAATTTGCTTAACGAAATAAATTGATTTTTTCAAGTTCTAAAATGTTGTTATAACAGGTTTATGAGGAAAAAATTTTTTTTGTTTAATTCAATATGAATTGATTGAGGTTTTAAATTTGATGCAAAGTAGAATGAGAAGATTACTTTGCACCACATAATAAAAATATGTTTTTAATGTTAAAAACAAAAAAAAAATTCGCCTAAAAGGTAAATTTAGTATAAAGAATTTCACAAAACACTATTTTTAATAAGTACAATACTTTATGTAGCTTAAAAAAATGGTTCTAAAACATAAATCTTAGCCAGAAAGTTGATTTAAGTATAAGATTTAGTTCAGGAATTTCACAAAACACTACTTTAAATAAGCAAAATGCTTTCTTTTAAATCAACAAACTTTAAAAACAAAACAAAAAAATTCAAGCAAACTTCCACCTAATAAATAAACAAACTTCAATGATATATATTAAGTTCACTCGTATTTGCCACCATCAAACAACTCTGGCAATAAAAATCTTTTGCTCAAAATTTTAGGGGTTTATCGCTCTAACTATCTTATCCCATTTGTAAAAAAGTTCGTTTTTTTCAAAGGTTATTTAGCTTATTAGTTGTTGTTTTTCTTGGTATATTAAACTGATTTGAAGCTACACGTTGACTGAGTGTTCCTTTTTTTATTAAATCCAAGTATATTTGCAGTGTTTCATTTGAATAATATTTATAACAACGTACTCCTAACTTTCTTTTGTAATGCCTTACCATTCTTAAAAATAATTTGCATCTGTTAGCAACGTTTTAAACCATTAAATGTAAAAATATAATAGTCTGAGGTTACTTACACTATTATCTTAACTGGCGCAAAGCCCCTTTTTGGTCAAAATTTGACACTAAAACTATTTTTAAATAACACCTTCATAAATAATAAATTAATTAAATTTTTTTGCATGATTTAAACTACAGATGGTTTCCTTTCGATAAAAAAAAACTAAATTTGATAAAAATTGATATAAATCTCGTATAGAAACACGCTACTTTAAAAGGAGAAAAAATTCGGTATAAAAAATAGCTTCCACATATATTGAAAAAACAACACATAAAATGGAAGCGTATTTCAAAATTTATTCTGAAAGTTGAAGATAATGGCCAAACTAACAAGAAAAAACAAAATAGATTTAAAAAAATCAATTTTGCTATTAGAGCTGGGTGACTACAAAAACTTTTCAAAAATGGTGCAAAGTAACCACCGAAGGAGTAAGGTATATATATACATATATATACCTTACTCCTTCGGTTGACGTTATATATATATATATATATACATATATATATACATATATATATATATGTATATATATATATATATATATATATATATATATATATAAGGGCGGGTTTAGTTTTTTAAAGAGGTTAGTCAAAAAAGTCGGTTGCAGATTTCACCGCCCCCTCCCCACGGAAGAATGGCGGAGGGGGGGGATGAAGGTAAAATACAAAAAAAATCACCTACCCCATTTGTTTAATAAATAAGTTATTTGCAAAAGCCTTCAAAAAAGCGGCTCAAATGGTGTTGCATATTCAAAAAATAGACACAACAAACTAAGTAAAAACAAACTACTATAATAGCTTCATATTATTAAATTACAAATTTAATATACAGTATGATTAATTTATAATAAAATATTAAAACATTTTTTTCAAGGTATGTAGTTTTTTAATTTAAAAAGTACCAAGTGAAAAGTGCTCTCTGCTTTTCACAAATTATTATACGATCAAATAATGCTTTGCACTTGAAGATATAGTTAAAGATATAGTGATAATAAAATAAAGTTTAATTAGTACGACTATCATACTATGAGAAACAGTTTCGATTAACGTTTGACAGGTGAAACTAAAGATAAATAGAGAAAAAAAGAATACAATAAAAATTAGACATGTTTAAATTTATAAAGATAATAAAACTTTATGAAAAAAATAAAATAACAGCTAAAATAAGATAAATAGTTCTTTTAAATAGATAAAACTATAAAAAATAAAATAATTATATTTTTTAATTTAAAAATTGTTAAATTACACAAACTTTCTATTTGAAGGTCTTAAAGATACTGAATAAAGGTTTGTATATACAGTGTATATACAAACCTTTATTCAGTATCTAATTCACAATGTAAAAACCCATAAACTCTTCCCTAACATCATAAGAATAATTCATCCCTAATATCATAGGAATAAGTCTATAAATCTAATTACTAAAGACAATTGCTCCTGATTGGAGCAGTCAGATGCTTCATCAGCAATAACTGAAAAAAATTGATTTTCTTTTATTTCAGAAACCAAAATATTCTGGATGTACTTTCTACAACAACTTATTAATTCATTGTGACGAATTAGAAATATAAGATGCACTCTTTGCACAGCTGTTAAGATGAAGTTCAAGAACTTTATCCCCACCTCTGATTCTGTAGTTTAAAAGTTCAATAAAATTAACTATTCTAACATACAGAAAAATATATTGATAATTGGTACTGTAAATATAAAAAAATGAAAAATAAAAACTTGTACTCAATATTTAATTTAAAATAAAAACATCTACTTTGACTGAACTTTCAATACTATCTCATAAGTTCGGCCGCTATATAAATACTTATAACGCATCACAACCTTAACGTCACAAATAATGAAAACTAATCTTTAAATGTTGTAAATTATGAAATTCCGGTAATACCAATAACTATGGAGGGCGTCGCCCTGGGCTCAAAAAAGAAAGTATTTTGGGGAACCAAAGAAAACAAGAAGGACCACATAAAAAAAGGCCTTTTTAAATATAAGTAGTAGTGTTTTTAATTTTTATTGTAATTAGTCAACTATTTTATTACTTTGGCCATTATCACATATGCTACACCACTGGTTAATAAAATTAAAAATATATTTTTCAATTAATTTGAAAAGGGCATTTTAATTAAAAAAAAAACACTACTTTGCTTTAAAAGAGCTTTGTATGTTTATTGGCAATTCTTGCACGTATCGTTGGCCATAGTAGAATAGCAAGACCCACACAACCAATCGTCACAGGATTCGCAACACATCCGGAGTTGTTGTTGAGCTGTAATTTTATCTTCAAAAAAAATGTCACAAGCTTGACATTTTTCAGAACTCAAAGAACCGTCAGAAATTACTGGCAAATTTTTTATTCAAATAAAATATCATGGTGTGTATCCACTATAAAAATGTCAAAACTTACTGGTAAATTTACAGGTAAAGTTACCGGTAAATTTTGCATTCACAACACTTATCAACACTTCACAATATTACTGCTAATTGTCTCATCCGCGAATGACCGAAGTTAGAGTATTTCAAAATTTCACTTATTTTTTATAAAAAAAGTAGTTAATTTTCAAAAACTAATAATATTTTATTGTAAATATAATTAATTTGGTGATTCTTAATAATAATAAGATAAAATTTGATCATTTATATTAATAATTTGCTTATTTTAGATTTTAATAGAATGCATTTTTGTTTTGCTAAATTGTTGTTTTGCTAAAGAATTATATCAGCAGGTTGCTTATAAACAATATTTTTTTTTATAGATTAATATTTACAAACTA